CTGGCATGAAATCTTTATAGAGCCAGTCTAGGAAGAATGCAAAGGAACGAAACAATGGACGTTCTGGATACACAACTCGTTACTTTGCTATGATCTGGCAAAATTCAAACCCCTACATTACCTCCCAGGCCCCTGCAGCAAACTCTGTGACTTCATGTGTCACCACTCCTATCCTCATTCTCCAAGCTCTAACTGTACCTCCTGCTTTCAGTTATTTGTATTTGCCCACTAGTTCTTACTGCAGTGGCTTTGCAGTGTCATTCTTTTTGTCTGGAATGCTTTTCCTTTGGCCGAATCTTTCCTATAATTCAGGTCTCTGCTCAGTTTTAATCTCCGCTCTCCCCCGCAACAGACTTTTGATCCTATCTAAAGCAGTCTTGCCCCTCTCCTTCTCCAAGGCCCATCTATCACATTACTCTGATTCCTTTCAAAGCTCTTGTCATTACCTGAACTTCCTTTATTTATTATTTTGTTTCCCCCCGCCCTCCATCTCCTGCCACAGAATATAAGGTTCACAATATCAGGGGTCTTCTATGTTCCATTTCATTCATCCCCAGGTCCTAGAATAATACCTGACACAATGCAGGAAATAAAGGGGAGAAGAGAGAGAGAGAGAGAGACACACATACACATAGAGAGAGAGAGAGAGAGAGAGAGAGAGAGAGAGAGAGAGAGAGAGATTGAAAGAGAGAGAATTACAGAGGAACTGCCTACAAAAAAAAGAGGAATACTAGAAAAAGTGGGACTAGGGAATAAAATTATAAGGACAGGAACAAAGAGCTGGATCCAGGTAGTGAGGGTTGATTAGATGTACCATTTGATACCTGTAAAGAAAGTTTTTTGCACGTATTCCAGGTAGATGGAATGGCAAGTGCAAAAATGAACTTCTTACACCACCATACAACTACTTTCTTTCTTGGTTGTTATTATGATTTTGTTTTCAGTGTGTGTTGTGAGTTGTATGTGTGGGAGCAGAGGTGGGGATGGGGGTGGTGGGAGGGTTCCTGTGTATTACTCAGGGGAAGGCGGGGTTTTCTCTTTAAGGCTGCAATGGTTGCATCATCCCGTTGCTGCCAGTGGGAATCATTTAGACATGACCCATGGTAGTGCCGCAGCCTATTCTAAAACATCTGGGCCAAGAGGCTGGAAAGAGAATGAAGGAACGATCACCACACTATAACAATGAACTCTTCTCAAGTTACATGGGTGAGATGGTTTAGGCCTCATCATGTAGCTCTGGGTGGTAGGGGTCGCCTTTGGCAAAACACATGATTTGGCACAAACCAAGAATAGAGAGGGAAACATTCTCAGAAACTGGTGTCTTTGATGTTTTGATAGTGGAGCTTTGCTTAAATGCCAACAGGTCCAGTCCTCTGCAAAACTCATGCACTGGCAACATGTTAGACAAAGAATGTACCCCATCCCAGTTTGTTTTTATCCAGAAAAAAGATGTAAGCCCTGGCATTGCTGTTAACGAGGGACCTGAGACCAGGGGTTTTTTTTGAAACACAAATTAACCAGTTTTGTGCTTGAAACAGAAAAGGCTTTGAAAAGATTAGAATCACATTATCTTTCGTTTTTCCTGTCAACATCAGAGGAAGAAAATAACTATTTCAGCCAAATTAACCCCTTATTGTCACACTTAAACATTCTCACACTGAGGCAGACATTTCTTAAAATTCAGAATTGCCTGTCAGGACCCCTTTAGACCAGGGGTCCCCGACTCCTGGGCCGCAGACTGGTACCAGTCCATGGCCTGCTAAGGACCTGGCCGCACAGCAGGTGAGCAAAGCTTCATCTGTATTTGCAGCCGCTCCCCAGAGCCAGCATCACCACTTCAGTTACACCTCAGACCATCAGGCATTAGATTCTCATAAAAGCATTGGTCCCTGGTACCAAAAAGGTTGGGGACTGCTGCTTTAGACTATTGATTTTTGTTCTATAAAAGGCACCAGGTATCATGTCTCACATATCAA